GGAGATGAAGTCTCACTTAATTTAAAGAAAAAAAAAAGAATGGTCCGTGAGTCGATGAAACTTATTTTCTGATGTTGTTTGATATATGCCGTGGATTTAGCAGATGATGTCCGTGAGTTATTAAGCCATGTTGTGATGCCAAGAAACTCTTATTTTCAACAGGCAGCAAAAGTTTTGGTGTTGTGTGAAAAGACATAGTGGACTACAACTGCTCGTCTCACCACATTTACATCATCAAACCAGACATGGAGAAGGGGACAATAAAAATAGTTGGGAATTTAGTGAGATTCAATTCCTTCATCCGTAACATAAGAATGAGCATTAAACACGAGAGAACCAGTATAAATCTGGCCATGTGATAAGTAGCAGCTATGCTGGGGTTGAAAATATTGTGCTGTGTCATGACATCATACAAGTAACTTCTGATTTCTAGTCAATTTTAACTGAGTTTTTGCATGCTAATAAATCTCTAATTATATGACAAAAATTAACACACATAAGTATTTATCAACTAAATTGAAGTACAACACATGTTTGATTAAGGGTGTAAGACCAAACGGACCAGAAAATAACTTTTATAGCCCCATTCACTCTTTTTTCCTTCAGGGGATCCATGAGCCAATTAGAAAAGCTCCCAGATTTAAATAGTTTTCTACATTTAGTCTTACAGATGTGTATGTAGATACCCCATTGGGGGCTGGTGAACGTAACAGCATTGCCACCATATTGGATGGGTTCCTCACTCTCCAAACCCAACTGGTGTGAAAACAAAGTGGGCAAGTGTACCCAATTTTGTGCAGCTGTGGTTGTAACAACTGGCGTACTGTGGAAAACAGATCACGTGGGATTACTATTGACATTTCTAACCTGCCTGTTGTGATATTATTTGTAATTATTTTTTGTTCAATTAAATTTATATTTTACCTGTCATGCCACACCATATTTCTGATTTTGTTAAAACGGCTTAATGAAATTAGTTTTTTACGTAGTTGGTTAAGGACCTTCCTCAGTAGCAGTTAATTAATAGGGACCCATCTAAGATGGCGGCCGACCACTATGGCAGCTCCATTCACAGACATGAATACGTGACCGCACCATCGGGAGCTTTAGTGTGTAACAGCATTGCACCATATTGGATGGGACCCACACCAGCTAAACACTGGAGTTTAAGCAGAGTGATAGAAAGAAAGAAAGAAAGAAAGAAAGAAAGAAAGAAAGAAAGAAAGAAAGAAAGAAAGAAAGAAAGAAAGAAAGAAAGAAAGAAAGAAAGAAAGAAAGAAAGAAAGAATCTTTTATATAGTGCCTCTCAAGATAAAATCACGAGGCATTTCACAAACACAAAAAATTTATCATCTAAAAAAGAATTTCAATAAATTATTAAATATGTTTATATGATGGTGCTTGTCCATGTAAGGCCCTATAGACCAGAACCAGGATCTTGAAATGAACCCTGAAGTTGACTGGCACCCTTTGAAGCTGGAGGAGAAGCGGGGTGATGTGGGTGTACTTTGATGATTTAGTCAGAAGTCGAGAACAGGTATTCTGAACCACCTGTTGACGGTTCAGGAGGTTTTTCTCGAAAAAGTGAAAAGAGAGTTACAGTAGTCTAAGCATGAGGAGATGAAGGTGTGGAGAACAATCTAAAGTTCAGAGCGGGACAGAACTGGACTCAGCTTAGCAATGTTCCTGAGATGGAAGAAGGAACTGACATGAGAATCCAGGGTGAGAGCTGGGTCAAAGGTCACACCAAGATTCCTGACAGAAGGCTTGGTGTGAGTAGCAAGCTGACCAAGAGAGTCTCTGACTTTGGGAACCAGCTTGTCTGGGGCACAGATGAGGATCTCAGTCTTATCTTCATTCAGCTGAAGAAAGCTCCCAGCCATCCAGGTTTTGATAGAGTCTAAGCAGGTGTGTAACAGCTGCAGCTTAGACATCTCATGGGGCTTAAAGGAGATGTACAGTTGGATGTCATCTGCGTAAAAATGGTAGGAGACTCCTTTAAAAGACCTCAGGTTGTACTGAAGAGGAAGCAGATAGAGGAGGAAGAGCAGAGGCCCCAGCACAGAACCTTGCGGGACACCATGGGTAAGAGAGGTGGTGGAGGACCTGAACTTGGAGACGGCCACAGAAAAGGAGCGCTCAGAGAGATAAGAGGAGAACCACTCCAGAGCAGATCCTGATAGGCCTACCCAGTCTCTCAGCCTCTCCAGTAGCAGGTGATGGTCAACAGTGTCAAAGGCTGCAGTCAGGTCCAGCAGGACCAGAACAGAACAGTCCCCTGCATCACTGTGAGTCAGAAGGTCATTAGAGACCCTAAGAAGAGCTGTTTCAGTAGAATGAGCTCTACGAAAACCTGACTGGAAGCTATCATAGATGTTATGTTCATCAAGAGCAGCTGTGAGTTGTTTAGCCACAACCTTTTCCAAAATCTTGGAGATGAACGGAAGTTTAGAGATGGGCCCGAAGCTGCTATGGAGAGAGGGGTCACGACTGTTTTAAGGATGTGTGGAATCAACCGGGCCAGGCTGGGGCCGACTGGGGCTACCCGGCCCTGGCCGACCCGGTACAGATGGGAATGGCCCATTATACTGCCCACAATAAAAGGCCACCCTGGAATGTTCAGTTTTTTGCTTTATTGGGGTCTGGGGACTCAGAAACGGTCAGTATCTGGTGTGACCACCATTTGCCTCATGCAGCGCAACACTTCTTCACATAGAGTTTATCAGATTGTCAATTGCGGCCTGTGGAATGTTGGTCCACTCCTCTTCAATGGCTGTGCGAAGTTGTTGGACATTAGTGGGAACTGGTACACGCTGTCGTATACGCCGGTCAAGCACATCCCAAACATGCTCAACGGGTGACATGTCCGGTGAGTATGCTGGCCATGCAAGAACTGGGACATTTTCAGCTTCCAAGAATTGTGTACAGATCCTTGCAACATGGGGCCGTGCATTATGTTGCTGAAACATGAGGTGATGTTCATGGATGTACGGCACAACAATGGGCCTCAGGATCTCATCACAGTATCTCTGTGCATTCAAAATGCCATCAATAAAATGCACCTGTGTTCTTGGTCCATAACAGATGCCTGCCCATACCATAACCCCACCACCACCATGGGCCACTCGATCCACAACATTGACATCAGCAAAGCGCTCACCCACACTGTCTGCCATCTGCCCTGAACAATGTAAACTGAGATTCATCTGTGAAGAGAACACCTCTCCAACAAGCCAGACGCCATCGAATGTGAGCATTTGCCCACTCAAGTCTGTTATGGCGACGAGCTGGAGTCAGGTCAAGACCCCGATGAGGACAATGAGCATGCAGTTGAGCTTCCCTGAGATGGTTTCTGACAGTTTGTGCAGAAATTGTTTGGTTATGCAAACCAGTTGTTTCAGCAGTTGTCTGAGTGGCTTGTCTCAGACGATCTTGGAGGTGAACCTGCTGGATGTGGAGGTCCTGGGCTGGTGTGGTTACACGTCGTCTGTGGTTGTGAGGCCAGTTGGATGTACCGCCATATTCTCTGAAACGCCTCTGGAGACGGCTTATTAGAGGTGCGAATCTTCACTTGTCTCCCGATTCGATTACGATTATTGGGTCAACGATTCAATTCAATTCAATATCCCGATGCATCACGATTATTTCATATTGATTTGTTTTCATCGATAAATAGAAGATGTCAGATAATTGCTTTTTATTTATTTAGTTTTTTAATCAAAAATGTTACTGACACAACCTGCCATCCCTCAAAAGCTCTCCATTCACAACAGGTTAGGACAAAACATTTTAAACATTTAAGAGGATTTAACAAAGTAAAACATCTGTTTCCTCGTTCAACACCACGCCTCGGGCTGAGAAAAACATGCAAAAACTCGCAAAATCTAAAAAAATACTGAAAACCTACAGGACACATAATGTAATAATAAAATACATAATGGGTTCATATATGAGTGTTTAATGTCTCTGAGCAGCTCTAGAGTCAGATATTTATGCCACAGTTGAAGGGTGTCAGAAATAACACCAAATGAAATGTTTGACTTAGTTTTTTATTTGAACCCAGTGGTTCATTTCAGAAATGTTGGAGAATGAATCAAATTCTGTTTGATGCAGAAAATAATAAAACACAAAGCAAATTCTACACTTCCAATAATATTTAAGATGTGTGTTTTATTCTTTCTGATAATAACACCAGCAGAAGGCTGTGGGCTGGATTAGGATTAAATTACCCATCTGATGGATCTCCTTCACTAACCAGCTAACTAACCTTTCCACTAACCTGTCCCTTGTCACCCTCACCATGTAACCCTCATGTCCATGCTGTCTCTGGAGGAGCAGATAGGAAACCAGACTTCCTGTGATCTAAAATGAACCAAAGCTTCCTCCCAACTTCTCTTTAAGCTGAATTTAACATCAGTTTATCTTCATGAAACAAAATAATAAAGTGTCTATCTCCAGTGGTCAACGGGCAATCAGGCGGGGTACACACTGGACAGAGAGCCAGTCCATCGCAGGGCAACACAGAGACACACAGGACAAACTATCATGCACACACACACACTCACACCTAAGGACAATTTAGACAGACCAATCAACCTAACAGTCATGTTTTTGGACTGTGGGAGGAAGCCAAACAGGTCAAACAGGCAGATGTGACTCAAATGTTTTTGCTAACACAGGTCACTGACTATCAGCTGATTTGTTACTGGGATGGGAGGGAACTTTATTTTTCCTTGCTTTCTGGGATTGGAACAAGAACATTTGTTCACGATGTGAATGAGCTGGAAAACCAAAGAAAATCCATTCAGTGTCATCTTCTAGTAAACACCTTCCTAAGTAGAAACAATAGACATTGAGTAAATAAATGCACTGAGGGTGAAAGAAGACCCATCCAAGATGGCGGCCCATCGCTTCGCCAGGCAACGTGTTGTCTATTTGGACCAATGACAACAGCCTATGGGCGGGTCTTAAATTCTTCTCTCTTCTCTCATTAGGTATCTGGTCTATCAATCATAGCAATTCCACCAGCAGGCGGACGTGATCTAGCATCGGTGACTGTGTTCAGTTCTCGGAAGCTAAAGCTTGCAGCAATTGTGTTAGTCACTCCCTGAAGGTCTCAAACTTTTAAAAGTTTATCCTAATGGCTTATCCAGGATACGGCGGGGTGAGTTAATAAAGCGTAAACGTATTTAAAGTGTTATTCCGGCTACGTTAGCTAGCCAAAACTAGCCAGTAAAGTTGCTAGCTTATCTAAGCCAACAGACGCGTTCGCATTCTTTAAAAGCATAAAGGGCACTTTTCATTCACACTAATGCTGTTCTTCGTGTTCAAGTTTGCACCCGGTGTTTTACTGAGACTGGGGCAGAAAAATAGGTCTTCCGGGAGTTCCTGGAGTAGAAAACAGGAAACGTAGCAGCTGATCTGAAGCTCATGTTATAGCTCTGAACTTACGCTCTTAAAGGGCCAGACACGTTTATTATAGTTGAACCTTGTAATGTGAAGAGGTAAACTTTAGACGGTTTTTACTCAGATAAACCTGGTAAATACGATCAAGATATGATTAATTACCAATTAAAATGTGGTTATGTGTGCAAACTGTAATACTATGGTCCTTTAACTTTACTGTAATACCTCTGCTAGTGCTCAGGATAAATGTAGAATCCTCTATTTACAAGGGCAACAATGATCTGAGGACTGAAGTTAAGCAACATAATAAAACCGTTCAAATCCAACAGGATCATGACTCATAATGGAAACTACTCATAAGAGCAATGGAGAGTTTGATTGTGGTTAATCAGTGTGTTCAGGGTAGGGTTAGTGGTAACTGAAATAGTGTCGTATACGTAGGTACTACAAGGGTGTCCAAAGTGCAACTAACACATTCATAGGTGTTTTGTCCACCCTTGACCATAAATCAAGACTTCTGTCTCGACCGCAAATGCTGTTACTGCAAATGGACACTTTTTTTTTAAATATATGAAAGGGAAAAGTTGTGAAACAGTAGTTTTATACACAATGAAAGATGTGATTTCTTAAAAATTCTATATAAAATAAAATTAAGTAAATTTATCTCATTTTTTTGGTTCATTTGGGCCAATGATAGGTTATATTGCCAGGTAATAAAAATGTAAAAATCAAGTTAAAAAATATTTAAATATTGTTAAGTGATACAGTTTTGTTCAGTTCATAAATAAAACGGATACGAGAACTCAAATGTGCTCTTAGGTAACTAACACAAGCTACTGCTCTTGTTTTTGCCTTCGCCATCAGGACGTTGTCCTCAGTGTGACTACAATGTTTTTGCTCAGATTTAGCTTTTTAAAGGAATGTGGTCGTAATCTTTTGATCAGCAGTAGAACAGCTTGTTTTCATTTAAGCATTGTTTTCAATGAACTGCTGGTCAGAAAATGTTTTTTGTCACTCCCATTTCTTCTTGTTGAAGCACTACTAGGAACCTTGATAATGCTCCATTGGCCCATTTGGAAAACAAATTAAATCAAAACATTTATTTCATGTTTCTTAACAACGTTCTAACATAGTATAGCTATGAATAAATTGTGGAAATAAAAAAAGAAATTGGTTCTCTTGCATTTGTCTAAAAACCACCACCCATAACATGTTTTGGACCAAAAGCAACTGTTGAACCATTTTGTTGTTGGTCTCACCAAACTGGTCCTCCATTCATTACGTACTCATGTGTTTAGCAACAGAGCACCACGTGTGCTGCTAGCACTTCAGCTGTAGGACAAACTACCAGAGTCCCAAAAAGAGAACCACCATTTAACCCTCTGGAGGCAGGCGTTGGAGATTTGCAACGTTAAAAACTACCCACCTGGTTACTCCACATTTCATTTAACTCTGAAGTACCCCTGAAGGACTTAGTTGTCCGTCCTTTTATCAGAACTTATTTTGAGCCTGAGAGGGTTAAAGTCCCGGACAGCAAAAGACGTTTGGATGTTGAAAACAAAACTTCTCTCTTAGAAAAGTGGGATTCCGGGTTCTGGTGGCTGTGGATCCAGGGAAGATACCTTGGGTGGGGTGGGGGGTCTGTGACCGTGTTTGTGTTTGAAACCTAGCTTGTTCTATAGGTTTGCTATAACATCATTGAGATCCAACCATGATTTTGGATGCTCCTCTATTCTTAAAGTTTTGATTTTGAGTTTATATGGAATTGCTTGTTCTTAAAGAGCAAGTCACCCCCAAATCAACGTTTTTTGCTGATAAACTAAAGAAACGAGTGTCTAATCGTGCTGCAGACACGTGTCGTCAATAATTTGGCATTTCAGTGCATCTTAGTTCAAATTTAAATTTTCTGCCTAAAACTGGCAGTGTTGTGCCGTTGTCAGGTAAAAACTCTGCACTGTATTTGAATTTAAATCTGCCATCGCTATTGGCTAAGAGGTATGCTATGATGTCAACTGGTGCATTATGATGTCACAATGCTGTTGTGAGCCTGTGTGTGTTAGTGGCTCCGCCCTCTCGGTCTGCCAGGCAACGGCATTTGTTGCATTTTTCAAACATGAAGTGGGAGTGGGGTTAGACTCTGGTAGGGAGTGACTTGCTCTTTAAAGAGTAACTAAACCCCAAAATAACTTTTTTTCCTAATTAACTTTATAATTGGGTCTTGTAATCTTTGTGCTTCTGTGCATTTTTGACATGTTTATGTAAACTTGATTAAATCTAGAATCTAGGTCTAAAAATGTCTTAGTGCTGCCCCCTGTGGCAGAAGAGCGGCTACTGCACTTTAAACTTATGATTGACTGGGGCTGGAACAATTTCACCTCATCGGTACAGTCTCCTCCCACTCCCTCCCGAAGTGGTAATTCCCCACGCTTGGCCATGCCACTCCCTGCCTCCTGACAACGCCCACTTTCATGGCATTTTTCAAATCTTGACTAGGGGTGGAGTTACGTTTTCTGCTGGTGTGCAGTCCCTCTTTAATAAAAATTTTCCATTTACGTGAGTAATTGAGATTTATTTGTGTAATTAGTTGTTGGTTTCTGTGGGTGAAGGTGAGTTGGACTCTGTTATTGTGCGAGTGGGCGGTAAAGGTCAGAAAACTGGGGTTGTGCCATTAAAAGGACAATCCAGTGCAGAGCTCTACTTTGAGCACCAACCATCAAACTGGACTAAATATAGCAAACATGACTAATTTAAAGACCTGCAAAAAAATAAAAAATAAAGCAGAAATAGAAACTCATATTATTACATGATTCATTTATGGCCAAATGCATCACTTTCCCACCACTGGTGGACGCCACTGGTCTACGGGGTCTGCTAACAACAAACTGACCACAACGTTGGTGTGGAACCTAGCCTGGCAAGCCAGACTAAATAAATGTATTATTTAGTCTGGCCACGCTCCATTGACGGCTCTCGGTTGTGGGGCGGGCTCTACCGTTGTCTTTCAAATGATCTCCGCATTCCACTGGACAACGAATGTGACATACTCTTGTTTCACTCTGTTGCATCATCCCACCCACCAGGCATATAGAGTGTCCTGATTGGCCCACAAAGCGGATAAAGCTCTGTGATTTGTTCACTAAGCAGATAGAGCACTATGATTGGCCCACCATCATGGACCAGTCACAGCTCTTTATGTGTTTGAAACCCCTCTAGAGAGCTGTGATTGGCCAGCCAGAGTCCTGGTAGGAGCTGCTGAGGTTCCAATGGAGCGTGCCTAGACCAAACTTTGCAAAGTAAGAATTTGGTCTAGTTCACTAGGCTATGTGGAACCAGCACCAGAGTGGGCCCTGTTCACACGGTTCTGGATCTCTGCTAAATACATTTTTCCTGTGGTTGTGTTTGTTGACCATCGAAAAAAGAGTTTGTAACAGTAAATCAGAATTTTCCTTTCAACCCCCCCCCCCCCCCAGCAGCACAGTAGGGTGGTTGTAGGGTTAACGTTGCTGCCGGAATGACCAGAGTATTCATTTTTGTAATTGAAGAAGGAAAAAAAAAACAACACTCCAGGGGTCTTGGTTCACGCTGTTCTGTCTGGGTTAGATGTTTCCATGGTTACCCTCATCGGACACAGATCCTAACTCGTTGTTCACCTCAGCAGGTTACATGTTCAGTTACAATAGCAAACTAATCCGGCTCATCGGGTCATTGGTCATTGAGGCAGCAGTAGCTCAACAGGTTGAGCGGGTTGTCCAGTAATCGGAAGGTTGCAGGTTTGATCCCGGCTCTGGACAGAGAATTCTGCTGTTGTGTCCTTGGGCAAGACACTTAACCCACCTTGCCTGCTGGTGGTGGTCGGAGGGACCGGTGGCGCCTGTGCTCGGCAGCCTCGCCTCTGTCAGTGCGCCCCAGGGCAGCTGTGGCTACATCGTAGCTCATCACCACCAGTGTGTGAATGTGTGTGTGAATGGATGAATGATACACTGTAGTGTAAAGCGCTTTGGAGTCCTTACTCTGAGAGGCGCTATACAAGTGCGGGTCATTTATCATTTAGACTTTTCTGACGTTTACTTTTTGAATCTGAGCTCTGTTTTGTCCTCCTCCAGTACGGTGGACCCATGCCAGGGATGCAACCCCATGGAATGCCCGGAGGACCCATGGGGGGCCCCATGCCACCACAGGGAATGCCTGGAGGACCCATGGGGGGCCACATGCATGGGCAGATGGGTGGTCCAATGGGAGGCGGACCCCCTCAGGGAGGGTTCGGCTACGGAGGAGGATATCCAGGTGGATATGGGGCCCAGAATGTGGCTCCCAACGATCCAATGTGGGGTTACTTCACAGCTATAGCAGGACAGGTGCGTGGGGTAGGGGGTGGGTCCTGACGGTGAATTCCTCTGTAAAAGTGTTTTACTGAACGTCAGGAGAACGAGCCTGGGCATGACCGGGCTCATCGAAACTGCCAAGCCTGGGTTGGTGGAACAGTTCTGTAGAAGACCAGGACGTTTGTCTCCTCTCCTCCTCTCTAATGTTTCCCAGCGTTTATTCATGTGTGGATGGTCATCAACCAGCCTCGTTATCCTGGAGCTGTTCCGCCGTTAGAGACAGAATAATGTAGTCTCAGTAATCCGGACAAGGACCCGGTCTCTTCAGATTGTTGTGTGGTCCTCAGATAGTCTCTGTGTTCCCTCCAGGACGGCGAGGTGGATGCAGAAGAGCTCCAGAGGTGTCTGACCCAGGCGGGCTTCACTGGCAGCTACGCTCGTAAGTTCATCACCTTCTTCTGTACGAGCGCTTAGCTCTTCCTTCCTTCATCAGATCAGCTCAGCGCATCACTTCCTGTTGCAGCTGCACACAGAGGAACTGCTGCTGATTTAAGACGTGATGCAAAAACGACAGATCCACATCTATAGGAGCGTTTACAAGATCTTTACAGTCTGGTTTTTACATTTTTATTGTGCTTGACTCGAGCTGCTCTGCTCTTTTCGTTCGTCGGGATTTAACGGCTGTTTCTGACAAAGTCAATCACAGTGTAATTTAGTCAAGACGGGAGCATCTTGGACCTAAAGGAACAGCTCTGTTGTTGTTAAAGGTCTCAGTCGGCGAAAACTGGTGTAACATTTGTTCTTTTTAGTCGGTCATGCGAGTTGCACATGCATCCTGAACCCTTTCTCCCGCACTAGCTGCAGAAAACAAATAAACGGGAGAACAATCGAGTCAGAACAAGCCGGTCGTCTACGTCACAGGGAAAATCAGCCGACCTGCCAACCTGTACGCATTTTACGTAGCAAGTATGCAATTTAGCGTCTAATTACGCTTTCTGTGAACACCATGGTTACGTCGATTACTTCACAGTTTCCCTCCTATGTCCTCATTTTTCTGTGGAGCATCTTTAGCGGAAGGTGGGCGGTGCGCAGTCGCAGTTAGAAACAACCAACCATCGTCGGACATGTTAACCGACGTATGCGCTTCCCGTCTTAATTTGCCTAAATTAAAGGAACTTCCTGAAAACCACAAACTGCAAACTGTTTACAATTTGCACACGTGGAGTTCGTGACACGGCCTCTGGCTTCTGCAGCAGCGCGTTCTTCCAAGCATTCTGATTGATCCGGAAGCTTTGAGGAAAGTAATTTAAAGGGGAACTCGGCAGTTTTGGCTTGCTTTTAGCACCCCCTAGTGTCTGTTTGTAGAATGGAAAACAAAACTTCACTGTGCATTCGTCTTTTTACCACCTTAATCTAACGGCTGGACCGTCTGCCCGGAACACACCGGCTGCAAAGTGGATCGCTCATGAAATTCTCGCTGGCCGCTGCTCCTTTGTTCACATCCGACGAGACTTTTTGACGAGCGCTTCTGCTCACACCTACTGTTTTCCAAAAGCCCCCACCCACCCCCGTGCCCTTGCTGTGCGTGCGTGCGTGCGTGTGTGTGAGTGTGTGTATGTGACCAGTTTGCCGTGCTTGTTGATATCAGGAACTGCGCTGATCCTTCTGCTGTTTTGTAGACCAGTTCTATTCTAAATGGTTAAGTAAGTAACTAGTGTTTGTGGTAGTGTACAATACTGTTGTATAGTTAGTTACCTTACACTTAAAAGTAGTTGTTTGTATTCACATTTATTAAATCCATCTTTTTCTGTAAAAACTACATTTAAACTATGGAAACGCTGTATCTCTCCGCTGGAGTGTGTGTGTGTGTGTGTGTGTGTGTGTGTGTGTGTGTGTTTGTTCATTTTCATCTCTCTATAGTCTTTTTAGATCAAGCCCCCATAATTCAGGTCTAGATATGAAGCAAAACAGGAAGTGAAATAAATTGCAGTTCCACCCTCATCCACTAGGGGCTGGTGTCAGAAACGAGCAAATCCTCATTGACTCCCATGTTAAAAATACCAATTTCACAGCAGAAATAAACATGTTTACAGCCTGGTACCAAAACATGTTTTTAGTTTAAATGATCTAGTTTACACTCATGACAACTCTGAGGGGGTGAATGTTTTTCTCACTCTTCTGTTTAATTGTATTAAAAGCCTAAAATTCTGTATAATTAATGAGCATCAGACCCACGTGACCACAGAGAGGCCTCAGTAGAGCCTCGGTCTGGCCTGGAAACTGCTCCGGGATTTTGAGTCTCTGTGTTTGTGTATTCTTTTTTGGATATTATTTGTGCAATTGGACAACCCGCTCAACCTGTTGAGCTACTGCTGCCCTGCTTAAACAGCTTAAATTTGGTCAAAGTGGCCTTAAAAAGGTCTTAAAAAGTCTTAAATTAGGTTCACTTAAACCTGCAGATACCCTGGATAATGTATCGCGATGCTGGTAGCGTATCGAGATTCCCACCCCTAGTGGCCAGCTCCAGCCTGTTCCCTTAAAGCGACAGAGCCCTGAAACGGCTCATTCTGGATGGTACTGAAACTGTCAAGAATAAATTTCTGAAATAACTTTATGTGAGATGGGTTTAGTGCAAAGAACACCAGGAACATGTTTTATATGGACCGTAGAACAGTTCTATTGTAATATGTCTGGTTTAAATAGTTTGGCCTGTTGTTGAAGTTGGTCAGCCTGTTACGTCATTTCATTCAGCGGATGTGTTTTTGGATCGTCCACCTTCTCCCTCCACCGCCCTTAGAGCGATGGAGAGGTTAGAAGTTCACTCATCTTGTGTTTTGGCTAATCCTGGAGCAATACCGAAACCTGACAGTAGGGCTGCAACAACGAATCGATAAATTCGATGAAAATCGATTACTAAAAGCGTTGGCAACGAATTGCGTCATCGATTCGTTGTGTCGCACAACTCTTCCAAAAGCGCCCCCCCTTCCCGCCCGCCGTTGCGCGCAGACAGATCAGCGCGAAGGAGAGCCGGCAGGTGTTTGGAAGAGGAACATGGCAGAAGCAGCGAGAGTCAAAAAAGTAAAAACTTTTTAAGTTTGGGAGCATTTTCAGTTAAATCAGGCGAAGACATTCGTTACCTGCAACGTTTAGGTCAGACTTAGCATGGCACGGGATGATGCAGCGTCTTAAACGCAAGCATGTCGGGATCATCAGCGAGGAAGGAGAGAACTCTGTGTCCGGGTAAATTAAAAACTTTTCAAAAGTGATTAATCCAAGTCCCGGATTATTACACAGGCTAGACATGCCCTAAACTCGTAAAAAAGAGTCTAAAGTCGTGAGCGCGACGCTTATTAGATGAGCGGGGGGACTCGCGCTGCTGCGAACCGGTTCCGCCCAAGGCCGGATTAACTGGGCAATTGCCCAGGGCCCACGAACTCTAAAGGGCCCAGGGCACGAGCACAATACTGTATCTATAATTTCCCGCTTTATGAGGACTATGGTGACCGTACGTTCTGTTTTCCCCGGACGTGTCCACTTTTCACTCTGTCCGGCGCGTCCGGACTGCGGGTTCTTGTATTGATGAAAATGTCCGGCTTTTCATCCAGGAGCAGGGATCGAATTATGGGGGAAATGGATATCCTACACATCCAGGGAGCCGGAAAAAAGTTTTCTATATTATATTATTTTTGGACTCTTTTGAGCAGAGAGCGCAGCGCGTTGTTGCGCAGCGCTCCAGGCTGCTGCTTCCAGCGCACGGTCCATTCTCAAAGTGGCGCAACCAAAAAACTATAATTAGCACACGATCGTTCATGTCTGCACATGTTCTCTATTTTCTGTCTTATTTGTGCCTGAAGCGCTCTGCTACTGCGGAGCTCATCACCTGTGCTGCGGTGATTTCACCTCACTGACGCAGCATCGAAAACGCGCTCTGCGCTTTGTGGTCAGGAGATCCCTTTGATCTGCTCAGAAGTAACTGATGAGGTGAAAAAGTAAGAATCCAGGCAGCAGTTTTTCTGGAGAATTAAGAGGAGATGCAGGAAGATGAGAGACAGACAGGACAGGAAAATAGTTAAATAAAAACAAGAAAACAAAACAAAGTGTTGAAAAGTAAAATGTAGATAGATTTACCTCCACTACACATTTTACCTATAAAACAATAAGTTACACACATGTAATATTTATAAATTTGATACTATTCAGATCACCTTCAAAACTCAGTCACACCCAGGGCCGTTTCAAGACATTTTGGGGGCCAAGGCGAAATGCCCCCCCCCCCCCCCCCCCCCCCCCCCATAACTGGGCTCCCCAGAAGCCTCTGTGTAATTCACACCCTCTCCAGTAGTGTTAGTTATACAGTGTTTATAAAAGCCCCTCAGACATTACAGACATGTTCTAATATTATCAGACGAAAAACTAAATTATCAGACACGCCGTCTCATCTTCTTCTTTTCTAAACTTGCAAAAAGTAACAAAACCATTTGAAAGCCACTATTTGTGGATTCTCTGAAAGTTTCCATGGAGTGTGTGACAACTTATTTTTTCAGTCATTTTTGGAAATGGTGATCAATTTTGATTAATTCACAGCCTATGTTTAATTACATTTAAAAATTAGTTGTTTGACATCCCCAGTTATAATAAATGTCTACAGATGAGATCAAACAAAACAGTTGAGAATTGCCCTTAAGCTGTTTAACTTGGACCAAGCATTTTAGGTCACAGATAGATGTAGCTTAGGGTCTCTGTCTATACACCTTATAAGACAATTTAGGTGATGGCATGTTGTTTTTCTGCTATTGAACTGTTTTCTAATAATGTTGTGTTTAATAAAGTGAAGGAAGGAGAGAAATAACATTTCCCTAGCAGTTTTTAAAAATTTCCCCATGTAATCCGATTAATCGTGTCGAGACCCCATCCGATTAATCGATTATCCAAATAATCGTTTGTTGCAGCCCTACCTGACAGCAGCTATGAACTCATTCTAAAAACGTGGGATAAACGTGATGCCCGTTGAACCCCCCAGGGCGCTTTACAACACAATTCACCCATTGACACACACACACTCACACCCTGGTGATGATGCTATATTGTAGCCACAGCTGCCCTGGGGCTCACTGCCAGAGGCGAGGTGGGTTAGTTGTCTTGCTCAAGAACACAACAGCAGCATTCTCTGCTGAAAGCTGGAATTGATCCTTCAACTCTCCGACTGTTGCCCCAGTGATCAAGTTCTGTTAACGTGTGTCCGTCTAAACGGAGCTAGTTAAGGTGGAACGATGCTGATGGCCGGTTTTATTCTTTTCCAGCCTTCAGCCTGGACACCTGTAGGATCATGATCGCGATGCTGGACGTATCCTTTCTGTACCGGACCTTAAACAAACGCTCTGACAGGTCAGTTAACCAAACCTTAACCAGAACCGTCCGCAGAGGGACTTCACGGGCAAGATGGGCTTCAGCGAGTTCAAGGAGCTGTTCACGGCTCTGAACGGGTGGAAGCAGAACTTCATGATGGTGGATCAGGACCGGAGTGGAACCGTGGAACCTCCTGAGATGTCCCAGGCGATCAGCTCGATGGGTGAGGGGCAATGAAATGAAATGATTAATGACTCCTGATTAGATTTAATACTGGTCCATGGGGGTTTTTTCCATTTATCAGTGTAGAGTAAAACTGCTGTTGGTCTCAGTAATCACACGTGGTTCCATCAGGGTACCGGATCAGCCCCCAGGCCCTGAACGCCATCATCAAGCGTTACAACAAAGGAGGAAAAATCTACTTTGATGACTACGTGGCGTGCTGCGTTAAGCTGAGAGCTCTCACAGGTATGACCCAAGCGTCGTCTGGTTCAGACCGCTAGCTGGGCTCCATTCCGACTGAAGAGCTCACGCCTCACTTCCTGTTTCAGAGAACTTCAGACGCAGGGACACCATGCAGCAGGGATCTGTCAACTTCGGATACGACGACGTGAGTATCTCCGGCGACCGTTAAGGTGGACGGAACTCGAGTCTCCATGGTGATAACCGTGTTTTCTGTATGTTGCCAGTTTATCCTGTGCACCATGGCCATCTGAGAGCTGCCTTCTGAGCGCAGGACGACATTCGTGCCAGTCGGTGACTGACTCTGGATCAGCACCACACAGGAATAGGGACCGTGACACTGGGCTGAGCTGCAGCAGGCTAACACCTGCTGCTTCTGACTAGTGGTGTAATGCTTTACTCTCCTGTTTCACACGTGTATTTATCAGGTGCACCAACGCTTCTATCTCTGCAGTTTATTGTTTAAAAATGCCTTAATGAGTTCTTATTTAGTCAAATATCCCAGAAGTGGCCCAAGATGTCTGGATGTTCAGGAATGATCCTACTGCTGTTGTTTTTTAAGGTGATGGTCCTTCATTACAAGACATAAAATAATACTTTTTAATATTAATTATGCTAATAATGCTAATGCTAGCATAATGCATGCTAATAACCGGAATCTGAACATTTTCAGTATGACTGGCTTAATCTGAGACTGAAAAGTAGGAAAAAACTGTTGGTCCATGAACGCATCATGGCCAATCACCAGATAATAAACAGGACTAGCTGCTAATTCACACAGTGATGGGAAAAGGTGGATATTCTGTCAGGTTTTAGGGTCTTAAATGGGCGAGAAGACTGCTTCATGTCCTCTGATCAAATCTACCAGAATAAAACAAGGTTCTGTTTTACGTTCCTAAAGATCTGAGACTATTAAAAGGTACTTTTTGTAAATTTATAACTTTTAATGTTCTTTACGATAGTAAAGAATGCTTTAATTCCAGTAAATAAACATTTAACTGGAAAATTGACGACTTTTAAACTTTACAGAATATCTTTATTTTCTCACGTTATTCCCTCGGATAGTAACACTCCGCCCTAATTCCCTACAGAAGCGTTCATTCCTGCCAATTGTTGTGCCAATATGACCTCTGGATGAATGCTTTCATATAAGAACCTTTTGTACATGCAGTTTATATTAACAGAATGTAAAAGCTTGTATCACTCCTTATGAAAGAAGCTTCAGGGACCAAAGTCCAGTTTTTACGGGGGTCCGTGTCTATTTTACAGTTTTTCTATCAGAAGATGGTTTTTATGTTGAACTTCCTAACAAAGCCAAAGTAACTGATACTTGTTGTCATGTTGTTTTTTAGTTTTCAGCACCGAGTTCTGACTAAAGGCCAGGCTCTTTCACAATAAACACACTTTAATCGTTATGCATTCTGTTTATTCGTTTATACAATTGTGCATTACTCCCAGTCGTATTTACATAATATACTTTGTTTTCTTTAAATATAGTTAAGAACAGAAACATTCAAATCAGCTGTTTAAGTGTCGCATTGTATAAAATACAGTGGCAAACCTTTAAAAAATGCATAAAAACAATTGTGAACAGCACTAGATTTAAAAAGTGACATTTTTAATATCCAGTACAGCAAGATTTCTTATCTCTGTGCAAAAGTTTGCAAATTCCCATGAAAAGTTCAGCAGAGGAGCCTTTTCCCGGCGCGCGCCCGTGTCGAGTCGGGCTTCGGCGACGTTTGTTCTGCATCTGAAGTGAGAGCGTATCAAAGGAAGGAAGCGACCTTCAGCAACGTGATCCACTTTAACCCCCGGATCAGCGGTGTCCCGACCTGGAAAACCATCTTGTTCACGCTCTCATCCGCTCCTTGCGTTGTCCCAAACAGAAGCGTCAAGTTGGAACTTGGTTTGTGACATGCAGTTAAAGTCCAGAAACTCTGCTGAAATGATATGAAAATCAAGGTGCAATATAAACGAAGACAAACCAACCCAAACGGCGTTCAGCAAATGCGACAACATGCGTTTCTGCCCGTCGGACGTCCTGCTTGCTACATTGAGGCAGTGCATTTGTTCCCATCGACATTCCAGGAGCATTCAAGGAAAACATAGAAAAATAATGGCATCAACTTAAATAATTTAGTTTAGAAAAATAAGTCTAATTCTGGAGATCCCATGGGTGTGCCGTATGTTTGGATATGGGCGGTGTCCCACAGCTGATTGAGACCTTTCACACTAAAGTCAAGTGCAGCCTCCATGCAATACATGAGCTCGTATCGGAGTTTAGTTACAAAGCTAAAGACTATTGGTTTTCCTCATGCAGTTTAATCTAAAGTAGTTGAATACAGTTAGATGTGTGACGGTAGAGAAGCCTCTGGTTCTTGCATCGGGCTGATATGATTTATAAAGGCTAGAGCGGGTGAATTAGCTAAGGCTGTTGAAGGCCGAGCAGTGTCCTCAGCCTAAAACACATCCGTTTTTACCTCATGACAGTGATGATTGGTAACTTAGGAAGGACTGTTGGGATGTAATGGAAGACCTAAAGCCATCGGCGGTTCCTTCAAGCTGTGAAGAAGACTCATGATGTCGGGGCAGTCTAAACGTCACTGGCAGTAAAACGGACTTAACGTCAAGGCAGTTCGGGAGCTGTTCTTTGTCTTTGACTGGATGATGGTAAAACACGCTTTTGGAGATAAAATAGACATTTGTTTTCTTTTTCTATAAATATAAATAAACCAGAATCTCACTGGGCCATGACTGCTGGAGACAAAGTTCAAACATTTCTTGAAATGTTTGTGATTACTCTCGGTTTCCCTACGAGTCGCATGGCGTGGTTCTCGTCAGGTCCATTCCACATACCCCAAATTGGCTCTCTGGGTCAAAACATGGGAGAGATGAACTTTGGGACGGGTCAGTGACAGAATCACAACTAAAATAAAGTTACAAAAAGCTTTTACAACATTTGTAGGAAAACTCCAAAAACGTCTCCATTTACACGCAATTTCGTCTTGCAGTGATTCCATGTTTACTCAAAATTATGTCTCCAACTGGTCACCAACAGCAAGGGTCCGGTCAGACATTGGCTTTAGTGTAAAAACAGGTGAGATTCCACTAATGTAGATAAAATTGTGAAAGTTACAACGTATAACGATGATACAGCGGATTCTACTGTTGAACCAAGATTCAGTGATTATCTATTAGCATTGCTACACGGTTTTATTGCCTTGGAACAAAGTGGTGTTGACGCTATCGGCAGAAGAAAAGTCATGTCCAGTCAAGATGGGTCGGTGAATGGTTATTAATGTTTTGAGTGTGGTAAGGGTAGAACAAAATGGCTTTTAATGATCAATAATGCTGAAAAAGCTTGTTTTCCTGTTGGATGAGTAACCTGTCCTAAAGGTGAGTCATCAGGCCATCCAATAATATGAGGCACCACTTCCTCCTAGTGATTGGGAAACATGATTGCCTTAATTAATTCCAGACGCCACTAAGGAGTCGTAGCTTCAGACCAAGTGGATTACTGTTGTCCTCAAACAAATGTAATCTCAATAAATTCACGTGACAGCTTTATTTGAGAACGTGTGCCCAAAATTTCCGTGATAAGTTGGTATTATTGAAGAAATCTTCTAATAACCCTTCCATACTGCCCCAGGCAGCATGAGCTATAGCTAGCAGCTAACTATAGCAGCTAGCATCACTTAGCTTCTAAAGTTTTTTTTTCATATCAAGTCTGAAAAGTTTAGTTTTGAGACTGCAGAAATCCACTTCAGCCGCTAGCTATCTACAACAGGTAAGATATTAATTATTCAAACGTTTGTCACTTGATTCTTTTAAGCGACCAGACGCTAAAAGTCAGCTAGCATGTTGTTAGCAAGCTACGCTAGATAATAGCTAAGTGATTTTAGCTTCGTCCTGATGATGCATCCAAAAACAAACGCGATGTTTGCTCTTTGACCTACATGCTAACTACAAGCAGACAACCCCACAACACAAGGGGCCGTGTCGTATCTCTGGATCTGTGACGTCTTCTGCAGCAGCCCGTCATTATTGCTTTCAAAGTCCAAAAATAGTAGTCAGTGCTATGGGATGTCATGCAGCCTCTTCACATGTTCCTACACTTCCTGTTTAAACGGTTTAAACCTGTCATGGTGGCAATGTGGTGGACAGTAGGCACGCTAAATGTACAGACAGGAGTTGGTGGCAGGTGGGATGAGTGTTGGATCACGGAGGGGGACTCTAGAAATGCCTCGGAAAGAGTTTCAAGTAGCTTTGTTCCTTATTTAGGAGGCGCGAGTTGTAGGGGATGAGACTGGATAGCTACAGTGGCCTGTGAGCATGCCGATCACACCTGAATGCCTCGTGGAGCTGCAGCACGTGTGAGGAACATGCAACAGGACGGAAAACATGGGAACAGAAACATGCATATCTGGAAAAAAAGCACGTCAGGTGCTCGGTGTTGCTGGCAGTGTTCTATCAGAACTATGTACACGGTGGATGATGACTTTACATGTGTTGATAATTTAGTGTATAAATAATCAGTATAAATGCATTTGTACATTAAATCGGAGCTAGAGGACGGTCGGGGCTGAGACGTGTTCTCAAAAGGAATGGAAGAAAATCTACAGTTTTTAAATCCTTTGCATATTCAGTCTCTTTCTTAGACCCTGAGTCAAGCTTAAGAGAAGACCTTCGGTCGTAGTGGAGGGAGGGGGCGGGGCCTACTGTCCTGGAAGCCCCGGGTCAGACACTGGCCTGTGGAGTCCCAACATTCCTGAGCTGTTGGGGACGTCGGGTAGAGAAGCTTGCCGACCTGGTGGGAACCGCGGCTGCTGCTGATGGCAGCGCTCTGTCGCGTCGTCGCCGTTAAACGTTTGTCTGTCCTCGGCGGGGCCTCCAAGCGGCCCTGCAAGGCTCCCATCTGGAAGAGTCTGTGTGTGGAGGAACACTGGGGGGGATTCTTTGGATTTCATCGGAGAGCTCTCCAATTCGAGGCTCCTCTGTTGGACACAAATCAAAGAATAAATTATTATAATTACTAAAATCTCCTCATATACATTCATTCATCTGAACCCGCTTGTCCATGTAGGGTCGCGGGGGAACTGGTGCCTATCTCCAGCGGTGAATGGGCAATCAGGCGGGGTACACCCTGGACGGAGTGTCATTCCATCAAGTTTTAGCTCTCACAATATCAAAAATGTACCGATCTGGTCTTTAGCAGGTACTGACCATCACACATGGGTTTTAGCTGTTTTCTGGAGCATACAAGTGCGTGCTAACATGAGTCCATGTGTCTGGTATTTGAAGTTTGGACCAAACTGGGTCATGAATCTAAAAAGGCAGCAGATATTTCAAGGTTCTGCAACACAACGCCACAGGAGGTGACGTCCAGAAAAGGGGACCAGAACTCCAGAACCTAACTAAAAGAATCCTTAACCCTTCAGTCTCGGGTTTCAGTCTATCGTAACTCGTTGGGTTTTCTGGAGCAAAAAACAAAAACAGAACACCTGCCGTTCGATTTGTCGACAGTCATCTAAACTTGTATTTATATTTGGATGTGAAAACGGCTTTGAGCCAGTTATTAGGTCGTAGTGTACCTGAAGCTGAGGTGGGGCGGCGCTGAGGCTTGGATCGGTCTGGATCCTGATGGCTGGACTCTGGTACTCGGGGCTGGATGTGACGGTGCTGTAGGCGGGGGGGACAGCTGCTGTTTGCCTCTGGAGGAGCTGCAGGATGGCCTGGATGTCTGCTGTCATCTGAGACTCCAGTCTGGCGGATCCAAACACAACAAGGTTAGAGCAGAGTCCTCGCTGACAGGAACAAATGAATCCTTCTCCTTTCCTGATGACGTTCCAGGACTTATCCCTGAACATTAGGAAGTTTGTTTATGCTCAGTTTTCTAGGAAGAGGAAATCATTCAGATGTTTTCCTTCTGCTGAAGGTTGCAGTACCACTGAAAAACACAAGAGGGAGACTACACACCAGCCTGTTGGGAGGAGAGAGCCTCTGTGATGGAAACTGAATGAAGATGACCTGTAAGGAGACCCATGTGGAGTCTAAACTAAGGAACACTGGTGGATGCTGTGTTCAACCTGACCGAGGAGCTGCAGCGTACCCGGTGGATTTCCTAATGGTGGCCAATAATCCCAGGATGGGTTCAGCTGTTGCCCTAGCCTCCAAATTCTCCTTCAGGGGTTACCTAACCCTGGGGTTCTCTAAGAGACCTACATAATGAAGACCATGCTCAGTTCTTCATCTGGTTGTCAGCTCAGTAACTCAGACCAGAATCGTTTGCTTTTGGACGTCCATCCCATTATTTGAGGACAAACATCATTACGTTAAAGCTCAACAAACTAAACCTCAAGTTGCCTCTCTAATCTCTAATAATCTGGGAGAATCCCTGTCAGCTGAGAGACATAGTCCCTCCAGCGTGTCCTGGGTCTTTCTTTAGGTCCCCTATGGACTGGACGTGCCTGGAGCACCTCACCAGATAGGTGTCCAGGAGAGCCACCTCAGCTGGCTCCTCTTGTGTGAACTGAGCTTCTCACCCTATCTCCAAGAGAGAGCCCAAACACCCTGCGGAGGAAACTCGTGTCAGCCACTTGCAACTGTGGTCCCATTCTTTTGACCACTGCCCAAAGCCTGTGACCGTAGATGGACCCGAGCTAGAACCAACAGGGTTTAGGGCTGAGTGTTGTAATGGTAAACTTTATTTTCTGAGTTGCTTCAGTAGTTGGGTCTGAAGTTTGGGTAACGACTGAAAAAACAAGATCATCAACACGAGCGGATGAAATGAGTCTTCTGGACATCTGGGACAGAATCGGAGTAGAGCTGCTGCTCCTCCATGTTTCAGAAGTGATGCTTTCACGGACACCACCCTGGACTGGGGTTTTACGGTGGCCTTAGAGGTATTGTCCTGTTTTATGATGGCGTGCTAAATGCTTCCTGATTGGTCGTTGAAAGCGCTGTTGTGGAGGACAGCGCGGCTTGATCTTTCTTTACGTTTTTGGCCATTACCTAACATGTTTGCATGTAGTGAAAGGATTGGATGACTGCTAAGGTGATTTTCTGTCACACCAGAAGCAGACCTTCTCACTTTTGCAACGGTTTTATAACAAACTCGTTAAATATTTGAATCCACCACAGCGAACACTCTGGCGTATGTGGAACCACGAACCCCTTTGCAGGAACAAGACCTGTAGAATATCTCATGAACCAGAGATGTTTTTATGAAATGACCTTAGGATGCCGTCTGCTTTTATTTAGTTATCCTAATTCGAGACGACCACGACGGCACACCAACTTTAGGCCACACAAGAACGGCTCTAGCTCAGTCCCTCATCCTGATCTAAATGTTGTCTGTGACTGAGAGGCGCCGCGCTCCACCGACCTGTCAGCAGGTCAGAGGAAACCTCTATTCTAAATTTACCTTTCTGCACCAAAACCCACTCCACGTTCCAAACCTCCCAGGGTGACGTCGACGTGTTTGCGGTGTGTCTGCACCTCAAGGCTGTGTGCTATTAATAGGGGGAGCCGCTGACTGTCTGCCTCCCCCTCATATGGATCACATTCGCTGCATTAACACGGATGCAGCGGGCGTCTGGCCTCGAATCTCTCTGAGATGTTTCAGCCAATTACAGACTCAATTACAGGCTTCGCACCGAGAGCGAAGGGGCGGAAAACTAGAAGTCACGGAGGCTTCTTCCGATGAGGTTGAAGGCTCCAGGTCTGAAAACGACTGGAGTGTTTTGGGTGTTCTGACCTGTTGAGGTGCTGCTGCAGCAGGTCCAGCCGTTGCTCCACCTCTCCGTAGGTGAGCTCTGTGTCGCTGTCGTCCTCCACGGCCGGCGCCTCCTGACACCGAGCCGACCCGTCTGGGCCCTGTGACCAGTTCTCTGCACGCAGCTCTGCAGGGAGAGGAGTGTGTGTGTGTGTGTGTGTGTGTGTACAAACATAAAAACACACATGCATGTTAAATTATGTGTGTTTTTAGGGCAGGGGAACATCTTTCTACTCGTTATTCTCTGTGCCACACTCCTTTAAGCTCCTGGACCCCAGCTACGCCTTACGACGGCGCACACGTTTCCCCGATCGCGCTGTCAGCTGGTAGTTTTGGCTCAAAAACCAACGACTGCTGATTAAATTGACATTCCTTGTATATTTCTCTCCCCAGGCCGCAATCAATATCACCGCTCTCCACTCTGGCAGAAATCCTCTTACCGCTGTAACAGCTGAGTTATGGGATATTCCTATCAAATCAAGGTGCTTCATCTCACACGCCGTAGGTTAGCGTTTGTGTGTGAGCCGCAGCTCTCGGGGAGATTTAAGGTGACGTCTGCAGACGGGTGGCAGAACCTGCAGCTGCAGACACTGACAGGTGAGTCTGCTTCCACACGACTTACGAAGAACCGTAACAACTCTTTCTTGTGTGGAAGTTATTTTATTTACATCCTCTTCATCGACTATGAAAAAAAATAATATAAAAAACACACACGTAACTGTCTTCTATGAATCCCAAGTATCATTTAAAAGTTGTTTTTTGAGCGACGGAAGCTTCTAAAGTGACTTTGTTTTGGTTTGAAATCAAAAGAAATGTTAAAGTTGCTTCCAGTGGCTGGTTGAGGTTACCACGGTAACACATGCAAATACAAAACGACTCTGGAGCAGAAAGTTATCCTTAAAATAAATGAATCCTAAAAAAAATGTTTCTGTGGAAAAATTATAAATTGCGCCAAAAATAAATTCCAGAACCTCCAGCAAATAAAGGGCTTGATCTTGCCTAACGACGAAGTTCTGAGAGTAAAAAGTCTCAAAGGTCAGAGTGTGTGACATCATCAAAGCAGTGATGAGTGACGGAGTAAAACCACGGAATGTATCCAAGTACCAGTCAGACGCCTAAAGCCCCGCCCACATCAGACATTTCTGGGTACATTGTTACCAAGTTCATGGTGTCACCTTTATATTCCTGGGTCTGCGTGGCGTCTGCAGGCGTTGCCTGCGGAGTACTGCTGAGCCCAAGGCCCAGGCTATGGTCCCTAACCACTGGGTAGCCCAGCACACCGGAGCACAAAGGCCTCTGCTCCTCTTCCTCCTCCTCCTCTTCCTCCTCGTCCTCCCCCTCCTCTGCGGACTCCCTCCTGTCCTCGGCCGACGAAGAGGCGTAGACGCGCCGGCCCTGCTTGGTGTTGCAGTGTGAGGCCGCCGGCTCCTTGTTGTGGGAGCCTGTGGGGGAGATGGGCATGAGGAAATCTGCTGAGACTTCCTCTGGGGATGTCAGGCCTGCCTCGTTATCTCTGACTACAGGCTGAGTGTTTTCTACCGAGGACAAACAACGTTAAAGCACCATTAACCTGTACATACTGCCAGGCTGAGAGGACTGCACTCAGTATGTTTAAAGCGCAGTGACCAACGGCTGCCGATTGATCTGAAGCTTGATGGAGGCCTCGATGAGCTGGTTATGAAATCCTCAGTTCGCTGCGTCCTCAGTCCTCGGCTGTGTTATATCAGGAGACGGTGACACTGTATTCAGACAGCTTGTAGCCATGGTGACCAATTCGATTTGCCTGAATCTAAGCCAAATGCTGAGTGCTGCTGTGTGGAGGCTCTATCTCCAGAGTCCCCAGTCTTTGTGTATTAGAAGTCAAATTACAGCAGCTCCCACGGTGTGGCTCGCCCTCACTAAGACATTTGAACCTCTCGTCTCCGGGCAGGGACGCTGCTGCGTTCCCCCTCGGTGGAGAACAGATCGCCTAACTCCAGCGTACGCATCCTGTGAGGGGGAGCAACCGCGCTGAAAGAAACTGGGCTGATTGAGAACAATCAGGCTCAAGTGGCTCCTACAAACTCTCTTCTGTCTACTGAGAAGTCCTGTATCCTGCCTGCACTCAAACCTGTGAGGTGGAAATCAAAGCACTGGCGTTCTGATTATAGAAATGTCATTTTACCTCTATTTTTGATGCATGTAGCGTAACACGATTGGGGGCTCGTCCGGGATTACTGGCTGTTTACACTTAATTTTGTGTCTGCTGTTGTGGATCTTGGAGCAAACCACTTTGGGGGCTTGTTTGGGATTGTTGTTTTATGTATGTTTGTGTGTGTGTGTGTGTGTGTGTGTGTGTCCGCTCACAAGGGTCAGAATGGTCACATGGTCTAATGTCCAAGAATACCCCTGAAACCTCGATCAAGAATACAATTTTTTATTATTATTTTTAGGGAACTTTTATGGAATCTGGACACATGCATGCTGTTTATTGGACATTCTATAAACCCGTATAGCCCCTTGTACATTTCCACTGACATAAATGTCACATTTCAGAATACACCCTACAGCGCTACAGTGGTTAGCTTGGCAGCTAATTCATACTTCAAACCGCCACAGAAATCTATGTAGAAAAAAAGGGTGAAATGTGAAAGTTTTGATGTTTGACAAGTAATTTGAGCAGATATGTTTACTCAGACTAGCCAATAGCATACCAATCCTTTATGAAGCTAAACACTCTTTCTCTAAAGTGAGGCTGTTCAGGAAGAAAAACAAAGAATCAACAATTATTTTATGTTGGGGGGGGGGGGGGGGGGTATTGCACGCACACACACTGGGAGCACAGCTGCTTCGCTCTGATAATAAACACACACTGGAGATACACTGCCCTTCACCTGGGCCTCCATTAACACATAATTATAGCCTGGATTAAGTTCCTGGAGGAGAACACACAGCTTTCACTTTCTCACACTATACCTCACAGCTGTTGAGACAGTTTGCATTTATCATATTCCCTCTTTAGATGTCTGGGACCAAGATTAGAGTCAGGACGTTTCTGCTGAGAGCTCCAGGTAAACCATTAAACCTGAAGCAGCGTGACGTGGGCCTCGCTGCTCTGGACTATTTTTAACTCTGCAGAGGAAAGTCTTTTTCTGGGCTCTGCTCCACCTGTTCTCTTTGCACAGGTGGAGGGAAGCGTCTTTGTTCCGGTGATTAGCACGTGCACGGGAACCATTCTGACCCTTTCAGGACTTTAGGGTTAATTTTCAAACCGGTTTGGAGGATTGTTTGGAAACGAAACGCATCTGAGGCAGAAAGGCTTTCGGTCAGAGGTCACGGACTGTGACCGAAACCCTTGGAGGCCGGATGATTAACTGGGTGGATGTGTTTACTGAGCGGAGCTGAAAGTGATGCAGGAGGAAGAGGTGAGGTTAGAGGACATGGAGAGAGGAAAACAGCAATGCAACAAACACGTTAAACGTGTCAGAGGACTTGCTGAAGGGGTTCAGCCGTGTTTCTAAGAGTGCAGGGAAAGGTTTGGCACCAGTTGACCTTTATTTGACATCGACTGGTCAGTTAAAAAACAAATCCTTAATTTTGGCTTGTGTTTGAATTTAAATGACCCATCAGTTATGGACTGATGGAAGGCGGTTTATTTTCCAGATGGGGGCTAGGAGTTGCTCAGTTTGAAGAAGACATCCGTGCTGTATGATAACATCAATTTGAGAAGACAATCTTCTAAATGGGAGGTTGCTGGTTGAATCCCAGTAACTTAGTCATTTGTCATAACCACTCTGGTACTGATGGCGGTTTAAAACGGTCATCTGTGACATGAATAGGGATGGGTACCGAATTCGGTACTTTTTAAGGTACCGACCGAATTCCATAGTACCGACCGAGCACCGATTCACGTCATTTGAAACGGTGCCTCGTTTCGGTACCCGTCCTTCATAACGAGAACTTGCCAAAACAGCTGCGCATGCGCAAGAGCGTTATGTCGTCGCTCGCTGTGAGCCAGTTGTAAACAGAGCAGCATGGTACAAAGAACGCACGCTAAAGCTTGGGTCCACTTCACTAAATGTGATGGGTAACTGGGTGAAGATGAAACCAGCGACAACGATCTAAGTGAGACATCCTCATCTTAATCTGCTCCGGTAGGTAAATAAAATGTTTAAGATAACGTTAGCTTGATATGTTAGCTTCGTTTCGCTAATGGTGCATTCACTTTCTCCTCGGAACTCCGAATTTCCGACTAGAAGAACATGAACGCGTTCTAAAGTTTGGCTTCACTTTACTAAATATGACGGGTGATTGGGTGAAGATGAAACCAGCGACAACGATCTAAGTGTGAGGCATCATCGTTTTAATCTGCTCCAGCAGCTAAATAAACTGTTTAAGATTACGTTAGCTTGATATGTTAGCTTCCATTGCCACCATTGTTATCAGCTAATGGTGCGTTTGCTTTCTCCTTGGAAATTCTAACTTCCCAGTAGGAAAAATCAAATGAAAAAGAAGGCAAAAGGAATGAAGATACACAGTAAATTTAGTTCACAGTAAAGATGTTTGCTTCAGTTTAATTATCAGCTTATAAAACTACAAGGACGATGTTAAAATACAAACAGTTGTATGTTATTTATCCTGATATTTACCAAATATGGTTATATATTGAGAAAAATATATATTTAATTATAAAAGAGAATTAAAATAATAAACACTCAAAAGTATCGAAAATTGATACCGTTAAGTACCGGTATCGATTCCTAGGTACCGGAAATTAGTACCGAATCGATTCAAATGTCAACTGTACCCATCCCTAGACATGAAGGTCATATTCTCAACTGCAGCATCAAATCAAACGCTCTATGCTTTTGAGGAGAAAGTGGGCGTTGGTGACTTCCTTCCAGGGAAAGTGGGTTTCAGATCTGAGACTAGCTTCAGCGGGGCGTTATGACATCATTCGTTTCCACTGAGGCTTTTCAGGATATTCAAAGTTAAACTCAAAATTAGCAGCTGAGACAGCAAAATTTATGAATGTAACCAAAAAGGGGTTTGGTTTTTTTTTCTCCTGAGGAAATAATAATATCACTTGGTAAAAAGCTCCAAAATGTTGGTTTTCCACGATAAGGCCCCTTTAAATGTTCATGTATCTTTTTTAGGACAGTGCATTGTGATATACAGTTTTAGCTGCTCATGGGTCAGCCACCATGGGGCAGCAGCCTACGTCGAGAAGCCCAGACTTCCCTTTCCCCAGCTACTAAGGCCAGCTCCTCCGGGGGAATCCCAAGGCGTTCCCTGGCCAGGTGACAGACATAGTCCCTCCAACATGACCTGGGTCTACCTTTAGGCCTCCTCCCAGCTGGACGTGCCCGGAAACCCTCACCAGATCCCGAGCCACCTCAACTGGCTCCTCTCGATGTGGAGGAGCAGCGGGTTTACTCCAAGCCCCTCCCGGATGACCGAGCTTCTCACCCTTTCTCAGAGGGAGAGCCCACACCCCCGCGGAGAAAACTCATTTTGGCCACTTGAATACGTGATCTCGTTCTTTCGGTCACTACCCAAAGCTCATGACCATAGGTGAGGGTAGGAACGTAGATCGACCGGTAAATTGAGAGCTTCGCCTTCTGACTCAGCTCTTCACCACGACAGACCGGTACAACGCCCGCATCACTGCAGACGCAGCACCAATCCGCCCATTGATCTTGCGCACTATCTTCCCTTCACTCGTGAACAAGACCCCGAGATACTTAACTCCTCCACTTGGGGCAGGACCTCACCCCTGACCCGGAGAAGGCATTCTACCCTTTTCCGAATCAAGACCATGGTCTCAGATTTAGAGGAGCTGATTTATGAGATCATGCTGCCATAAAATGGTTTTGGTTCATACACGGCGATACGCACACATCAGCCACAGACACTTTTACACTACGTTGTTTTGGACTGTACTCGCTCTATTACTCGGTCTACTATTTAGACTCTACAGAACACAAAAACAGGATAACAGGATGTTCCAATAAGAACTATGGGCGAATCTGACCTGTGGAAGGCCCCCTCTTGTATGAAACTCTTCTTCTGCACTTCATGTCCACGTTTGAATCACTTGCTTTGGGGTAGGTCGTCTGCAGAAGGGACAAAGTAAAATAAGAACCCACACAGATCGGGACTGGTGCTATTGGAGCAGCTAGGCTCTCGTGTGTCCTCCCTCCTCTCTGACCCTTGCTTCTTTCCGATCTACCATCTAAATAACTAAAGACCAACAACATGGCCTCCCAGCTCCCTTTTTAAAAGATAAATGAACTTAATGAGGATCCATGACCGTATCCTGCTGCTAGTACACCCACTTCATCATGGTTACTGCTTACATTATTTTCTAATGCCCACCCTTAATGCACTCTCTCTGTCATACTTGTCTTCTTGTAAATGGCAGAAAAACAGCAAAAAAAAGTCAACATCGCTTTTCATTGGTTCACTCCAGAAGGCGGTTTTAGTAAACTGAATGGATTTACAGAATTAATTAGGAAAAGCTCATTTCCTCAAGTGAACGGTTATTCCTAGGAGATTTCTAGCTCTACAGTAAAGCAGAACCAGCCAGACGGATCTAAAAAAGTCCCCGATCCACTTTGGCTCTGCTTTGATCATCTGAAGTGTCACCTTCGAGCTAATTACCTTAGCCTTTTCATCACGGAGATCAAAGGTCAACTCCAGGTTGGTGAAGAAGTGGTCGGCGAATTCTGGATACATGTCCAGCACCTCCAGAATTTCCTCCCTCTGGATGGTGTGAAGGTCGCAGTAACTGAGCGCTCGGACGTCAGCGCACGACTTCCCCGGCTTGGCGTAAAGGTGGATCATCTCACCAAAAATGTCGTTTTTACCTTTGGAGACACAAAAACAGAACTGTGTAACGTCCAAAAGGGTCAATTTTCTCCTGTATATTGATCAACACAATAATCTTTCATCTACAGAAATAAATCCACTTTCTGGGCGACCTTCTAAATCCAGAAGGTTCCTGCGCTCACCGTGTGAACGCCAGACGTCAACATTCTTCACTCTGAATAAGCGAATGATCGTATGTGATGAACGAACAAGATGTTTAAAGGAACTGTTTGAATAATCTGTGCTTAAATCAATGAATTTGAAATGAATATTGTTCTTACAATGATCCATTTATGTATGTGTTGATTTAACAACTTCATCATTATCTACACTCATACACATGACGATAAGATACATGTTAGGGTTAAAACATCTTTGTATCTGAAGGAGGGCGTGGCTCTCTGAGGGATGTTGGTAAATACTCAGAAACGTGTCAAATTCTGATTTGCCAAACTTGGCCAGAAATCATAACAGAGTACTTTAATAAAACAAGAATGACTTCCCGAGTAATTCAGTTTCCAGCTGAGCCCCGATTCGGCCAAATCGGGAAAGAAGCCTCTTTTGAAACAAACTCCTTAAGTCAAACCCTTTTTGTGACGCTGCAAGTGATTACAGACACAACAGCTCTTCTCAGAGCTACTTCACACCTCAGACCTCTAACCTGCAGACCCCGGGTTGCATCTCATGGCCCGGGAAGCTGAACTCAGAGGAAGCTACTAATCTCTGAGTATCGCGGTTTCGACGTCCGGTGACCTCACCGCTATGACCGCAGCCCTCCGGACCGCCGGGAGCAACTCATACAAAGGTATCGTAAGCCTGCATACCGGTGTCTGATGAGGTTTTTATCAATAACTAACTCTCTAGTTTATAACAAACAACAAATTATTTTACACCCAGATTTCACAGTTTCTCTCAGATACAAAGAATGGTTGCTACAACATCTAGCTTCCATCACAACACCTCCCATCCACCACGTCAGATCTCCACATTCATACCTTGTCGTGCGTCATTAGTTTAGGAAAAATAATTAAATTAATTTTATAAACTATATACTGACTGTCTGAATTAATACGAAGTGTGTTTATGATCCCTAAAGAAGCAAAGAACCCTAGAATCTTCTGATGAAACATTCAAAGATCAATCAGATTGATATTTCATATTTGTGTGGAATATCACATCTTATTGGTCGTAATTAATATGTATTAATTGCTACAAACTGGTAAGAGAGGAAGCAATGAAAGATTTTCTGAAATAAAACTTTCATGTCAACAAAAGCACAAAGTTATAGGTAGCAAACCAGGTTTTAGGACGGCGTTGGTGGTGCACCAGTAATGAGGGTATCTGCAGTTTTAAGGGAGCCAAATTTAAGACATTTTAATACCTTTTTTTAAGGCCACTTTGACCAAATTTATGCTATTTTTTAAATTTATTTTAAGCTATAATTTCTAGCTATTGCCTGGAACCGGTGCTAACCAAGTCACGGATGTGGGATTAGCCATCCAGTTACCATTAAACTTGCACTTCCCCATGGCAGAAGCTCCCACTAGCTTAACCAGCTAATGTGCTCATCTAAAAATAGCCCCCTTTCACAACCAGCTGAACGTGTACGGTTCCGCTTATATCATACACAAAAAATGCTGAACACTAATTAGAAATTCATGAAAATTTTATAGAAATAAAAAAATCTTGTTTATGGGTCTTTGGTAATTTAAGACCTTTGGAAACTGTATTTAAGGATTATTTGTCATTTTTAAGGATTTTTAAGGCCTTAAATTTGGAAAAGTAAATTTAAGACTTTTTAAGGACTTATATCCTGGTAATGGCTGTAGGGGCAACTTTTGGATCCCCTTACTGCCCTGACCATTTTTGATATAAACTATGTGATCTTTAAAGTGTGCAACAGTGTTATTGTCTTCCTCTTATGCAAACTGTTTTTCAACCCGTTGTTAATGGAAGTTTCACACATATGGGCTCGTCTTAATGGATGCTATAGAGTGAAGTTTTCCTTCACTATGAACTGGTGGTAGGAAGAAGAGGAGCTCTAAAGAAAACCATATTAGAGTGGTTTTGCGGCGTGGAAGAACCTGTCAGAGACGTTCCACTAAACCTGGAGAAAATCCATTAAACTTTGGAAAGAACGGGCTACAAAATGTCTCATTTATGAAGAAAAGGCACGTCTAGGTGGGAGAAACACACCTGCTGATTTATGGAATGAAAGGAAAGGACAGGAGATGAAATGTGCTCTAATTATATCTGGATGCCGTCAATGACGATTTGTGGCTCCGCCGATGTTGTTAGGCATATCGTCACGTTACAGTTCTCACTTCATTTGCCTCTTTTCCTTTCCTTTCCCCTCCATCAACACATGCCCACCTCCCATCACGTGTCCTCCCCCACTCTTCTCCCCCTCTACATTTTATGGAAGTTAATAAAACATCCGGATAGTATTTTAGCAGAAACTTAGTCGTATCACAGCGCAGCAGAGGCTTGTGAATGCAGCCGGCCTGCCTGCATTCACGCTGATAAAAGGGAGCTGAGGCATGGCTATCCAGCCTGCAGCGGCAGGACCATCAATCTGGCTTCTTTGTGCTTCTTTTTGATCAGTAGCTCATCAAAAGAGTTAATTAACTGAATGCTTTTAATTGTTTGAATGGTACAAAGTACCTTGCGTAGCAGCTTTTAGTAGTTCAGTTCAAGAATGTCCCAGAAATCTTATGTTAAATCCAAAGGATGAGCACTAAAGCCTAGGGCGGATGGAGTAGAGCCCAATTCTCTACCTATATGTCGAAAGCGAGACTGCAAGCCTGTGATTGGTCTAAATGCTGCTTCCTTTAAAGAGGTCGTTCACAGAAAAAGCATTTTTTATTAATCACGCTTGAAAATGATGAGTCACTCTGAGTTTAACGTGCAGACTGAACATGAAAATAGTCTCCTACACCTATCTCCTGCATGGGCGTCTGACAGAAAATAGACGGTGAAACTCGCAACGAAGAAGGCTGTTGTTGCTTTAGCGTCCAGGAAACAGCAGAGAACGTTTCCACAAGGAGAACTAACTGTTAGCATTAGCAACTCCACCACACAGCAGAACTCCTTCAGGCTTGTGTTAATGGTGAAGATAAAACATCAGTGTTGGAGTCAGTGGTAGAGTTGTGTTGCTGTTATCCAATCAGAAGCAAGGTGTCCTAATATCAGGAAATAAGCCTCCAAATCCAGTCTGAAACTACCTTCACCTCCAGCTGACTTCTTCACGCTGAAACATGCACACCAGAGACGTCGTAAACTTTAATACAACCGTGATTGAAGGAGTACAAAGCTATGCAGCAGACATCTTATTTGTGAAAGAACGTTTTGGGAAATGTGGATTTAAAGGTGGTGACTGCATGAAAAGTTGGAAGAGAAGGGTTAAAAAGTCTCTGAAATACATAAACACAATGTAATCACAACTAGGGACACGAGCACAACCCCAGAAAAGTGTTACTCCCTCTGCTTCACAACACCGACACCAATGGAGAAGTATGAAAGGAAAACGTGTGGGTGCATACTTGCTGGTGATGGAGATGCATAAACTAAGCTTAAGACTGAATCCGATCGGACCCCTCTGTACAGGGTTTTACCCGTGCTCGACCAAGACATGTCTCACTGACTTGTGGACCCCTGGGAGCCCAGGTACCCCACTTTGAGTAACACTGACCTAAAGGCTAGAAGTCTTTGACCTAATTCATAGAAGAAAAACTCGTGTGCAGCAAAGATTTGTCTTAACTTCGACAGGAAGAGATTTATGATAGCTAAAAAAAAACACTGAAATAGTTTAATGGCCAAAAACCCATTCTGTTTTATTCTGATGTACTCTCATGAATTATGTTTAGTATTATTGTAAATGATCTTAACCAAGCACGAAAACCAACCTGTTGTAATGACCAGATTAATTATTGTGTCTTCTTTGGTATTATTGTCATTAACAAACAAAAAGAACTATTTTTCTCAGTTCTAAAATATAATATTATCTCACCAGACACAAAATATCTCATTAGTTGAATACTGTATTACCACATATATTATTGTTACAATAGTACCAGTCTATACTAAAGCCTGTTGCAGAATTAATGACTAGAGGTAGAGTTTTCCCCACTTCTACCCATACGGGCAGTACGGCTGCAAAAGATGGTTTCAAAACGTACAATTAAACTGTGCTTCTTGTTTTTCATCACTACAGGAGAGGGTTTGTTTGTATTTCTGAGTTGACTTGAAAGCAGCAAAAACCGGCCCTTATTTTGGAGGCTAAGCTATAAATCCGGTAACATGTTCACGATCTGAGCCAATCAGAGGCACGGGAGGGTGAATGTGTTAAATTAATTACAGGTGCTGGCCAGTAAATTAGAATATCATCAAAAGGTTGAAAATATTTCAGTAATTCCATTCAAAACGTGAAACTTGTACATTATATTCATGCAATGCACACAGACCAATGTATTTCCGATGTTTATTACGTTTAATTTTGATATTTATAGGTGACAACCAATGAAAACATCAAATCTGGTATCTCAGAAAATTAGAATATTCTAAAGGCCAATGAAAAAATGTTTGTTTCTCTAATGTTGGCCAACTGAAAAGAATGAACATGAAAAGAATGTGCATGTATAGCACTCAATACTTAGTCGGGGCTCCTTTTGCCTCAATAACTGCAGTAATGCGGCGTGGCATGGACTCGATCAGTCTGTGGCACTGCTCAGGTGTTATGAGAGCCCAGGTTGCTCTGATAGTCGTCTTCAGCTCCTCTGCATTGTTGGGTCTAGCGTATTGCATCCTCCGCTTCACAATACCCCATAGATTTTCTATGGGGTTAAGGTCAGGCGAGTTTGCTGGCCAATCAAGGACAGGGATACCATGGTCCTTGAACCAGGTGCTGGTGGTTTTGGCACTGTGTGCAGGTGCCAAGTCCTGTTGAAAGGTGAAGTCTGCATCCCCATAAAGTTGGTCAGCAGCAGGAAGCATGAAGTGCTCTAAAACTTCCTGGTAGACGGCTGCATTGACCCTGGACCTCAGGAAACAGAGTGGGCCAACACCGGCAGATGACATGGCACCCCACACCATCACTGACGGTGGAAACTTTACACTGGACCTCATGCAACGTGGATTCTGTGCTTCTCCGCTCTTCCTCCAGACTCTGGGTCCTTGATTTCCAAAGGAAATGCAGAACTTGCTTTCATCAGCAAACATAACTTTGGACCACTCAGCATCAGTCCAGTCCTTTTTGTCCTTGGCCCAGGCGAGACGCTTCTTGCGCTGTTTCTTGTTCAAGAGTGGCTTGACACACGGAATGCGACACCTGAATCCCATGTCTTTCATGAGTCTCCTCGTGGTGGTTCTTGAAGCGCTGACTCCAGCTGCAGTCCACTCTTTGTGGATCTCCCCCACATTTTTGAATGGGTTTGTCGTCACAATTCTCTGCAGGGTGCGGTTATCCCTAGAGCTTGTACACTTTTTTCTACCACATTTTTTCCGTCCCTTCGCCTGTCTGTTAATGTGCTTGGACACAGAGCTCTGCGAACAGCCAGCTTCTTTAGCAATCACCTTTTGTGTCTTGCCCTCCTTGTGCAAGGTGTCAATGATTGTCTTTTGGACAGCTGTTAAGTCAGAAGTCTTCCCCATGATTGTGGTGCCTTCAAAACAAGACTGAGGGACCTTTTAAAGGCCTTTGCAGGTGTTTTGAGTAAATCAGCTGATTAGAGTGGCAGCAGGTGTCTTCTATATTCAGCCTTTTCAGAATATTCTAATTTTTTGAGATACCAAATTTGGAGTTTTCATTAGTTGTCACTTATGAATATCAAATTTAAATGTAATGAACATTGGAAATACATTGGTCTGTGTGCATTGCATGAATATAATGTACAAGTTTCACGTTTTGAATGGAATTACTGAAATATTTTCAACCTTTTGATGATATTCTAATTTACTGGCCAGCACCTGTATATCCCAAACAACTTTCAGGACAGCCAGGAACTCACCGAGGATGGCCACCACGATGTCATCCTTGAGGATTTCAATGGAACCGCGAGACACAAAGTAGAGCGCTGTGATCACGTCCCCACTGTGGACCAGTGTGTCTCCAGGGGGTGCGTGGGTCGTCTTGAACCTCATGGCCAGGGCCCGCAGGCAGCCCTTAGTCGCTCCACGAAACGCCTTACAACCCTGGAGGAGGCTCTTGTTAAGGTGGAGGCATATATCAGCCTGCAGGCACTCTGGGAATCCCTTTAGCACCTGAGAACCAAGAACAGGTCAAACGACACACATTGGATGAAGTAGAAACTGATTTTTATTGTGTTTATTTGTAGTTTAAGCTAATGCTACAGATCAAGCTGACGGGTTGCCACTTTAGTTCCTAGAGTAGAAGCAGCCTTGTCTATTTATATTGTTACAATTTAATGAGCCTTTGAGTGACTTTAGATGCAAGACAAGACAGAACAGAGAAGGACTAGAAGCCTTAAGCGAAACGACAGCACAAAGTCAACGCACTGGCTGGGAAAGCCTATGTGCCATATGCAACACTTTTATGTACTGTCAATACAAATCTACTTGGTTGTAAATAATCCGATACAAGGAAGACCAAAAAGGACAAACGTGATACAGTCTAGTATGAAAAGTGCTGCATATACTATAAAGCTGCCTTGACTTGCCTACTCTGTGCTCAAACCTCCGTGAAAGGCTAGGTAAATATACAACGCAGGAAAATAAGTATTTGAAACATCAGCGTTTTCATCAGTAAAGGTATTTCTAAGTGGGCTGTTGACACAAATTTTCCACCACATGTCAATATCATTCATGCAAAAACTTAAATAAATTGAGTTATGCATAATAATGTGAAAAGAGAGAGGGAACAAGTATTTAACACATGAAGATAACAAGATGTTAAATGGCATAGAAAGCCAGGAGATTACCTGAACCCTGTCCCCTACCAGTACTAAATGATACCAGCTGCTTTAGTCCTAATTGATCTATAAAGGTTTCTCATTACCCAAGGGCATTCTGATGGGAATGGTTGTAGGCACATTTCCAGAATGCTGAATGCTCCTGTGTGAACTGTGGGGGCATTATCTGGAATTGGAAAGAGCATAAGTTCACCATAAAGCGTCCACGATCAGGTGCTCCATGTAAGATCCCTGCCCGAGGAGTCCTCAGGAGCGGTCTCCAAGAGCAAAGAGCAACTTGGTAGAACTTCAGGAAGACCTTGCATCAGCAGGTTGCTTGGTTCTTTTCTAAACACAGCGTGGTAAAGATTGATTTAAAAATAAACTATATGCAATGCACTGAACCGCCATGGCATCCATTCTCGCTCACCACGCACGACTCCACTTCTGAACAAAAAGCATGCTGGGGTTCGGTTAAAGCCTGTGGATTACTGGGAGCCTATAGTATGGTCAGGTGAAACCAACATTGAATTTTTTGGCTGCCATTCTTCACACCATGTTTGGAGAAGCACACCATACCACCAGTTAAGTTTGGGGGTGGAAGCATCATGGTTTGGGGCTGCTTTTCAGCAAGAGGTACTGGCAGACTTCGTATTATTGAAAGCAGGACAAATGGAGAAATGTACCGAAACATTTAGGTTAAAAAATCTGCTGCCATCTACCAGAAAGGTGAAAATCAGAATCAGAAGGTTTTATTAGCATATGTGCGAGAATCGCAGCATTAGAACATTGCTGCGGTACTTGGTGCAAGAAAAGATAAATGATAAGCAAAATTAGAATTAAGAAATAAACAATGAAATGATAATAATATAGGGAAACAATAATTAGAGAAGCAGCTACTTTATACAAGTCAGGGTAGGTACTCTCAGTTCAGTTGCAAACACAACACCGGGTCATGTGACTGAAACAACTGTGGGCATGTCTATGATTGTCACTAGTGAGTCCGACCGCAGAGGGGAAGAAGGTGTTTTTGTGGCGAGAGGTTCTGGTCCAAATGCATCGGAGCCTCCTGCCAGATGGGAGCGAGTCGAAGAGACTGTGTCCAGGGTGAGACGGGTCAGCTGTGATCCAACCTGCACGCCTCAATGTCCTGGAGGTGTTCGGGTCCTGTATGGAGGGGAGTTTGCAGCCATTGACCTTCTCAGCAGAACGTACAACACGCTGCAGCTTCTTCTTGTCCCTGCTGGTAGCTCCAGCATACCACACAGTGACTGAAGAGGTGAGGATGGACTCGATGACTGCGGTGTAGAACTACCTCATCCACTGTGCTGGCAGGTTGAATGCCTTCAGCTGCCTCAGACTGACCTCTGCTGTCTTCTGTGCATTTAGCACCAGGTTGTTGTGGCTGCACATGGACACCAGCCGTTCGACCTCCATTCTGTAGGCAGACTCATCCCCGTCAGACATGAGTCCGATGACGGTGGTGTCGTCTGCAAACTTGATGAGATTGACAGACTCGCGGTTGGAGGCGCAGCCGTTGGTGTACAGGGCGAAGAGCAGAGGGGAGAGAACACAGCTCTGACGGGAACCGGTGCTGATGGTCGGCAGGCCCAAGACATTTTTCCCCAGCCTCACTTGCTGCTTCCTGTCCATCAGGAGGTCAGTGATCCACCCAAAATGAAAAGAGGGTGGACATTTCAACCAGACAATGATCAACACAAGGCCAAGGAAACGATGATTCGGATTGAAATAAAGAAACTCAAGTTATTTGAATGGCCCAGTCAACCACCTGACCTAAGTCCCATAGAACATCTACGGAGACAACTGAAGATCAAAGTTCATAAACGAGGCCCAAGGAACCTTCAAGATTAAAGAGTGTTATAGGAGAATCACTCCTGAGCAATGCAGATGGCTGATCTCCATCCAAGATGCATCTAGAAGCTGTAAACAGCAACAAAGGCTTTTCTACAAAGTATTAAATAGTGTTCATCACCTATTCCCTGTGTCATTTCACCTTATTTATCATGACTCTACTTGCATACTTAAATGTTCTGATTACATTGTATGAAATCTATATTTGGCTTGATAGCAACATCTGGTCCAAATTTTGTGTCAATAGCCCACTTAGAAAAACCTTACTGATAAAAATGTTGATATGTCAAATGCTTACTCTTTCAGCTGTGTGCGCACGCATGTGTGTGTGTGTGTGTGTATACATATATATATACACATACACACACACACACACACACACACACACACACACACACACACACACATATATAAATATATATATACATATATACATATACATATACACACATACATACATATGTATAACACCTTTGTTTCTGCTTCGATTTTTCATGAGATGCACTTAAAGATCTAAACTTCATTCCAGATACACAATATTACCATTTCTCTCAAACATTGTTCACAAATCATTCTAAATGTGTGATAGTGAGCACTTCTGCTTTGCTGAGATAATCCATCCCACCTCACAGGTGTGCCACATCAAGATGTTGATCCGACATCATTAGTGCACAGGTGTACCTTATACTGCCCACAATAAAAGGCCACCCTGGAATGTGCAGTTTTGTCTCACCGCAAAATGCTACAGATGCCTCTGGCATTGAGGGAGCGTGCAATTGGCATGCTGACAGCAGGAATGTCAACCAGATCTGTTGCTCGTGCATTGAATGTTCATTTCTCCACCATAAGCCGTCTCCAAAGGCGTTTCAGAGAATATGGCAGTACATCCAACCACAGACGACGTGTAACCACACCAGCCCAGGACCTCCACATCCAGCAGGTTCACCTCCAAGATCGTCTGAGACCAGCCACTGAGACAGCTGCTGAAACAAGTGGTTTGCATAACCAAACAATTTCTGCACAAACTGTCAGAAACCGTCTCAGGGAAGCTCAACTGCATGCTCATTGTCCTCATTGGGGTCTTGACCTGACTCCAGCTCATCGCCGTAACAGACTTGAGTGGGCAAATGCTCACGGCATGTTGGAGAGGTGTTCTCTTCATGGATGAATCTCAGTTTACATTGTTCAGGGCAGATGGCAGACAGCGTGTGTGGCGTCATGTGGGTGAGCACTTTGCTGATGTCAATGTTGTGGATGGAGTGGCCCATGGTGGTGGTGGGGTTATGGTATGGGCAGACATCTGTTATGGATGAAGAAGGTGCATTTTATTGATGGCATTTTGAAAGCACAGAGATACAGTGATTAGATCCTGAGGCCCATTGTTGTGCTGTACATCCATGAAGATCACCTCATGTTTCAGCAACATAATGCACGGCCCCATGTTGCAAGGATCTGTACACAATTTTTGGAAGCTGAAAATGTCCCAGTTCTTGCATGGCCAGCATACTCACCGGACATGTCACCCGTTGAGCATGTTTGGGATGTGCTTGACCGGCGTATACAACAGCGTGTACCAGTTCCAACTAATATCCAACAACTTTGCACAGCCATTGAAGAGGAGTGGACCAACATTCCACAGGCCACAATTGACAATCTGATAAACTCTATGCGGGCTATGCAGTGGCGCAGTGGTTAGAGCTGTTACCTTGCAGCGAGAAGGTCCTGGGTTCAATTCCCGGCCTGTGATCTTTCTGCATGGAATTTGCATGTTCTCCCTGTGCATGCATGGGCTCTCTCCGGGTCCTCCGGCTTCCTCCCACCGCCCAACAACATGACTGTTAGGTTGATTGGTCTGTCTAAATTGTCCTTAGGTGTGAGTGTGTGTGTTTCTGTGTTGCCCTGCTATGGACTGGCTCTCTGTCCAGGGTGTACCCCGCCTACCTGCCCGCTGACTGCTGAAGATAGGCACCAGCCCCCCACCCCCCGCGACCCCTGAGTGGACAAAGCGGGTTCAGAACATGGATGGATAAACTCTATGCGAAGAAGATGTGTTGCACTGCATGAGGCAAATGGTGGTCACACCAGATACTGACCGGTTCTGAGTCCCCAGACCCCAATAAAGCAAAAAACTGTACATTCCAGGGTGGCCTTTTATTGTGGGCAGTATAAGGTACACCTGTGCACTACTCATGATGTCAGATCAGCATCTTGATGTGAGGTGGGATGGATTATCTCAGCAAAGCACAGGTGCTCACTATCACACATTTAGACTGATTTGTGAACAATGTTTGAGAGGAATGGTAATATTGTGTATCTGGAATGAATTTTAGATCTTTAAGTCCATCTCATGAAAAATCTGAGCAGAAACAAAGGTGTTATGTTAATATTTTTGTTGAGTGTACATATATATATATATATATATATATATATATATATATATATATATATATATATATATATGTATATATATATATATATATA